ATGGTATTTATTAAATTGTTGCTGCCTTTCAATGTAAACTTGATGACTTTTTTTTCCTTTTGCAAGGCAATTGGGGTTAAGTGACCTGCCCAGGGTCACATAGATAGTGAGTATCATGTGTCTGAGGCCAGAGTTGAACTCAGGTCCTCCTGACTCCAGGGCCGGTGCTCTATCCACTGCACCACCTAGCTGCTCTAACTTGATGACTTCTAAGTTGCCTTCCAACTCTCAGTCTTCTCCTTTGCATTTTGTACATCATAGTCATATGTCGCCATCTCTTTCCCTCTCCCTGACAACCCTCCCTTGTAACGGGACACAGGTAAGCAAAACTGATCCAGGAGATGACCAGCTTTGCTATGCGAGTCTAAGGAGAACAAGGCTAATCCCTCTCCCATGGGACAGTCCTTCTAATACTTGAAGATGGCTCTCGTGTCCTTTGTTCCTTCAATCCCTAGCTCCTTCAACAGATCATGATATGGTCTGGACTCAAGAATCCTCACCATCCTAATGAGCAAGAGAAAATTTAAGGAGGAGGCAGAGAGCTGCCCAGGATCACATCATATCTGAGGCAGGATTCAAACTCAGGTTTTCCTAACTCCAAGTTCTTCCCAATAACCTGCTGCTCCACCTAGCTACAACAGCTCAATACAAAGAAATCTGGGGAGGGAGGAAGGCACTGATAGCCTGGGAGACCCATAAAAGGCTTTGAGTAGGTGACATTTGGACTGACCTTTGAAGGGAGCCAGGAATTTTAAGAGATAAAAGCAAGGAGAACATTCATTCTAGGCATGCGTGGGAGATAGATGTGCAAAGACAAGGCAGCAGGAGATCGAGCTGTCTTCTATCATGAATAACTAGTAGCGATGATACTTTGTCGTTCAGTCATTTTTCAGTGGTGTCTGACTCTTCGTGACCCCATTTTGAGGTTTTCTTGGCAGAGACACTGGAGTGGTTTGCCATTTCCTTCTCCAGCTCATTTTACACATGAGGAAACTGAGGCAAACAGGGCTAAGGGACATGCCCAGGGTCACACAGCTAGTAAGTGTCTCAGGCCAGATTTGAACTCAGGTCTTCCTGACTCCAGCACTCTACCCACTGCCCCCAAAGTGGCGATAATTGTACCTACCTAAAAGAGTTCTTGTGTAGGTGAAATGAGATAATGTAGGGCAAGCGTTTTGTCAACCTTAAATGTGAGCTATTACTATTGTTACTTGTGTCTAGTCTATACGTGCACATAAACGTGTTTCTTCTACAGAATGTAAACTTCTTATGGCCAGGGTGTGTTCAATTTTTTTTCTTGTCACGCCAGCACCTACCACAAGCCTGACTTAGTCATGATGGGAGGGACCAATGCACAGCAGGGGAGCAGTAGATGTCAGGGCAGTAGGGAGTGGGGGGCTAGAGGAATTCCAGAGGGTCCACTCTCACAGGTTAAGCAGCTCAAGCCCATTGGGGGCTAGCTAGGTAGCTCAGGGGATAGAGCACTAGCCCTGGAGTCAGGAGGAGCTGCGTTTAAGTCTCAGCATCATACACAAGCTGAGTCACCCTGGGCAAGTCACTTAACCCTGATTGCCTTGCAAAAACAATTCAAGTCCCACTGGTTCTGGCTTTTGTTATGAGGATTACGATTTTCCTTTCCTACTTGCTAAGTGACTTATTTATTCATTGTTTGGCACATAAATATTCAATATGTTCTCATGATCAATTGTACCTTAAAGCATGATGCTTTCCACTTTGAATTCAACTCTGCTTCATAATATCACCCACCATTACCAAAATTCCACATATTATGGCTCTAACCACAGCATGACAAATCCTAGTTTTAGAATTTAATTTGATGACTGCTAGGTGGTGTGGTGGAGAGAGATTTGGATTTGAAGTTAGGAAGTCATGAGATCCAATCTGTCTTCAGATACTTATTAGCTGTTCAAACCCTGGACAAGCTGAGTAACCCCTGTCTGCCTCAGTTTCCTCATCTGTAAAATGAAGATAACAACAGCCCTTACTGCTCAGGCTTGTCTTGAGGATAAAATAATACATTTGTAAAGTGTTTTGCAAACCTTAAAACACTGTATAAACATTAGCTGTTACAATAGAAAGAAGCGTTGCATCTGACTGTTGGTGACCCCATAGCGTGCCAGGTCTTTCTGTCTTCCACTGTCTCCTGCAGTCTGTCCAAACTCATGTTTGTTGCTTCCACGACACAATCTGTCCATCTCATCCTCTGCCATCCCCTTCTCCTTTTGTCTTTGATCTTTTCCAACATCAGGGTCTTTTCCAATGAGTCCTGTCTTCTCATTAAATAGAAAGAGGAGACCTGGGTTCAAATACTAGCTTTGTAATTCATTACCTGTAAAGTGAAGGCATTGGCCTGGGTCATCTTGACAGTCCTTTCTAGTTCCAAGTACTGTAAGCCTCCTCCCCCAGCAGATTCAGGACCCGGAAAGACCAGCCACCTTTAAGATCTGGACAGATCACCTGAGGAGCTCTAGCATCTCCTGTGAAAGGATGCCATTTGATAACTTTTCCAGGAGAAATCCCAGCTGCTGCCCTGACCTCACCCTTTTGGCGTGATGGGCGTCCCCATCACAGGTGTGCCTGCTCTGTCATCTACAGCTCTCCATCTTCATTTCTTCCTCTGACCTTTCCCACCCTTTCCACTTTGGCAAAGAGTTCCAGAATCTGTTCCTGCCCAGCCCAGTGTGCTAGCCATCTCAGTTCCCCCAAAGTTCTCCTGACCCACCCTCCATTCTCAGTCATGGATATACATCTTTGAAGCACCTGCCAAGCCTCAGCCCTGCCCAGGTAGCCCCCAACTGACTTCTGGGCTGATCCCTGCTCAACAGGTTCATTGTCACCCCTAGGGCATTCTTCCTTTGTTTATTATGTGACATTTTCCGACCCGACCCGTCTACTTGTCTCTACCACTCTTTGGCTCTTCATTTAGAGGCAGCTGGGTGGGGCAAGGCGGGGAACTTGGAATCAGAGAGATCTGACTTTGACGCCTGCCTCAAACACTTACAAGCAGTGTGAACCAGGGCACGTAAGCTCTTTTAGTCTCAGTTTCCTGCCTGTAAAATGGGGCTAGTAATAGCACCTATGTCATGGGGTGGTTGTGAGGATCTAACAAAACAATATTTGTAAAACACTTGACAAACCTTAATGTGTTACATAAATGCTATTGTTATTATTATTATTTGTTTTGTTTTTGAGTGAGGCAATTGGGGTTAAGTGACTTGCCCAGAGTCACACAGCTAGTATTATGTGTCTGAGGCCGGATTTGAACTCCGGTCCTCCTGACTCCAGGGCTGGTGCTCTATCCACTGCACCACCTAGCTGCCCCAATTGTCGTTGTTGTTATTATTATTATTATCATTATTATTATTATTATTATTATTATTATTATTATAGCATTGTACTAACTCTACAAGCTTCATTTTTCATAAAAGCTACAGCAGAGAATTTTGAGTTTAAAACTCTGACAATTTTAAAGGAACTAGATCGAGCAACTGTTTAAATGTGTCAATCACAGACTGGCTTAATTTCGGGGGGGGGCCATGAACTTGTTTTAAAAAATATTTTGATGACTGTATTTCACCATAATTGGTTGCCTTTGTAATCCTTCGTATTTTATTTTATGCATTTAAGGACCTTATTTTAAGAAGGGGTCCCTCAGTTTCATCAGATTGATTGGCAAAGGGGTCCAGGACACACAAAAAGGTTTAAGAATTCTCTTTTCTATATTGTATTTATTCTCCAATTATCACTTATTTCATCACGAGACTGACAGTGCCATCTTATTAGACTGTTAAGACAGTGGGGGAAAATAGGATTTTCAATTTCCTGCTGAAATCTTTCCATTATGTGGCCCTTTTTTGGAATTTTCCCATTTGGAAGGAGTTTTTTTGGTTGTTATAGTTGTGTGAGGCAATCAGGATTAAGTGACTTGCTCAGGGTCACACAGCCAGTAAGTGTCAAGTGTCTGAGGCCAGATTTGAATTGGAAGGAGTTTTTTCACCAAGTTGCTTCCTTTCCTGTTCTGTCCCAGGTTCTCCCTTTGGTCAGGGGCTGTGATTTCCAAGGTCCACCACAATCAGTGACTTCACTCTACTTGTATCCAGTACTTTATTGCTTACTGTTCTTGTATCTGTGACACCCAATGGCAAGGGGGAGCATTTTTTGGGTGGGCATTTCAAGGGGCTCCAGCTCAGGGTCAAGGTGGGGAACTGTAGTGAAGGCTGCTACCGGAGCATGGCTAGGGAAGGGAAACGCTCGTCTGTCTCCTTCCCCATACCGAGCTCACTTTCTCATTTTTCCCATTTTCACTATGAGAAGTGCTTGCCTGCATCTTTTTCTTCTTCCCCTTCAGGGAAGCCAGATGGATTGGGACAGACACTGCATGAGTCAGCCTGCCAGGGGAGTTCTGTCCCCAACTCACATGCAGCTCTGACAGATAACAATCAAACTTTTGTTGTTGGATTTGATGTTTTTTTGAAGTTTTATTTTTCAAAATAAACAATATTTACATCTTTATTTCACAACTACAGCTCTATAGACTTCTTCAAAAACCTTTAAATATCTCCGTGGTAAACATTAGAAATCACAGATCAGCCCAAACCATGTCTTTTATATTCATTGGATTTTTTTTTTTAACCTTTCAAGACCTAACTGTTTGAGGATGGGAACAGGAAGAAAGCCAAACCCAACAGCAAGAACCAAGTTCCATGGGTCCACACCTGGAATTAGGGAGGCAGCATATGAAGCTCAGACTTGGCCCAGGGCCAAGCTGGGAGAATTTCAGATGGCTTATAAATAAGGCCCGCTTTAAAGCAGTGAGTGGCTCCGTTAGGAGGAACGCAGGGTGCTTCACGTCATGGGCCTGAAGCAGGAGACAGAGGGAGGGCAGCCAGGTTGGGTCGGGGAAAACCGGGAGCTGGGGGAGAAAGGAAGATGAAGGCCCCAAGATGCCAATTCACATGGCCACCCATCTCAGCACACTTGGGGGATGGTAATTGTGGGGAGGAGCTGGGAAGAAGGTGACTGAGGAACGAGGAACACAGAGTGACGGGACTGTTGCCAAACACTAGATTTGTCTGAGACAAGGAAGGATGAGGAAAGAAGGCACCTCGGTCACTTCACTTTCTCAATGGGACTGTGGTAGTGTCTGCCTCCCAGCTGGCCAGGGATCCTCAGAGATGGATTAGGATGAATTCTCATGACAGAGTGTTAGTGATGGAGGGAAAGCGGTGATGTCTTTGGCCAGCCTCCCAGCTCGTGACTACCACCTCTGGACTCTCACTGGACCATTCCCTGCTTCTGAAGAGGTGGGTTCGGGGACTGGAGGCCCAGCCGAAGGGGAGGTATGAGTGGTCCCCAGGCTTTTCCTGAATGCCTGCCAGGCCCTAAGGCCATCAGTCTAAGAGGCACTGTTTGGCTTCATAATTGGCACTTGCAGCCTCAGACCTAGGTACTGAGGGAGTTATCCACAGAAGAACACGGGTAATGAATGAGAACCCTTCATATGCTTCGGGCCTCGTGGCACCATCTCCCAGAAGCTAGAGAGTGGATGGACCAACTTGCCCCTCGACCTAAAGGGTGATGAAAGACATGCTCCAGGAGGAAGGAAGGGAGACGGGAGGAGCCAGAAGCTAATCTGGCCCTTGCAGTGTGGAGGCCACTGCCACGGGCGTCATCAGGACTCTCTTACAAGGCAGCCCTAGGTACTTGAGGCTTTGAAAGGATCTGAGGGCAGTTCCTTGTTCCTTTTCCCATGGGGTCTGTTTCCTTCACTCCTCTCGAGGGTTGTGGCTCTTTGGACTCAGGGCTCTGGACCACTGCCGCAGGACTGAGGCTGCGGCGAGCCTGTGGGGCCGTCAGCATCACAATGAGTCTCGGGTGGGCAGGCTGCCAGGAGGGCATTCCATGGGAAAGGTGGAGGTTCTCAGCTCCTGGGAGTGTGGAGAACATTCTTCGCTTTTCTGGGGTGTGTTAGGAAGGCGTTGGCCCCTTTTATCGCCGGGGAATCACTACCACCTCTCATTGGGTCAGCGAGGCTGACCCACCCAGTGGCCCAGGCATCCTGCAGGGGTCACCAGCTAAAGGGTGAGGGGAGGAAGTGTTAGCCAAGAGGGAGGGAAGGGTGGCACCAGGGGGCTGGGAAAGTGTTACTGCTCCTTCTCCGAGGTCTCTGGAATGAGGGTATCGAAGAGTACATCCCAGATTTTGGAGGAGATGCCAAACCCTAGAGAGGGAGAGAAAGGGCAAAGTCAGAAGAACAGAGAGGTGCTAGACTGGGAGTCAGAACCTGTATTCAAATTCTGTCTCAGGCTCTTACTGTGTGACCCTGGGTTGATCACTTCAGCCTCTCAGCCTCAGTTTCTTTGAATGCAGAAAGTTACATCTTTATTTTCACAAATCTCTAATTACAATTCAGCATTTTCTACAATCGTGAACGTGGGCAACAAAGCAGAGCTGTCTTAAAAGTACGTTACTCTGTCACTCAGAGACATTTTCACAGCACATTAAAGTTATTGTAGAAATCTTGAAATATATAATTCATGCTCATCATGACTTCAAAATTATTGTAGCTATTTATCCCCATTGCTAGATATATTAACAAACCACAAATTAAAAAATATTTTGATGATTGTATTGCAACAGAATTGGTTTCCTTTCTAATCTTATGTATTTTATTTTATGCATTTAAGAACATGATTTTGAAAAAAGAAAACAGTCACAGTTGGCTAAAAATAAATAAGATTTTTAAAAAACCCTTGATTTTGGGGGCAGCTGGGTGGCATAGTGGATAGAGTGCCAGCCCTGGAGTCAAAGAGGACCTTAGTTCAAATCTGACCTCGGATACTTGCTGTGTGACCCTGGGCAAGTCACTTAACTCTGATTGTTCCCAAAAACAAATAAATAAAAACATGATTTTGAGAAGGGGTTTATGGGCTTCACCAGACTGTTGACAAGGAAGGGTCCATGGCATAGAAAAGGTGAAGATGGCATCTATGGTTCCCTTTAGCTCTACAAGCTGTGAGGGATTCTGGAGAAGAGAGTGAGGCTGATGACTTTGCATAGCTCTGCCTTACTCATATCCAATTCACTCTCAAGTTGAAACATCACCCTTATGATGTCATTGACCCTTTTGGAGAACAGAGGACCACCACCACCACCTCCAGATGCTATGAAAGTGAGGCTTGTGGTTGGAGAAAAAGGTCTCAACGAGGGTGGCTCTGAGTAGTCTCCGATCACCTCCTTTTTTCCTTCTCACTTTCTAGGAGACACCTCTCCCAAGCCAACAGCTGTGGTTTAGGATTACTCCCTTCATCGCCTCTGCTGATCACGGGTAGTTTCGTGAGCTAAGAATGGCACTTCTCAGAGGTGGGGGTAGGGATGGTGGTGAGGAGAGAGAGAAGGGAGCGGACGTGTAATTCTCCCCGGTGCCCTTCAGGCCCTTGTACCTGACTTCTGGTGTTCAAAGTGGTGTTTGACATGGTAGGCCTTCATCTTGTACAGGTAGGTGCCCTTGGCTGGCGACCCATAGTGCAGGTAGTAGTGCATCATGTCATAGACAACGTAGCCAAGGAGGCCGCCTGTGAAGATGGTGCCCCCGATGGCCTCAGGGCAGAGCAGGCGGAGTAACGCGTAGGCCATGGCAATCATCAGGGAAGCAGGCAGTGGGGGGAAGACCAGGCGGGAGCCATCGTACGGGGACTAGGAATGGAGAGACAGTATAGTTGTCCCCAGGCCCCGGCTGGAGGGGTAGCTGGCTCTGAGCCCACCCTCCCGGGAGGCCATCCGGCTCAGAGGACAGCTGGCAGCCCTACTGGCAGCAGAATGGGGAAGCAAGGCCTGGGCAGCAGCAGAGAACTACTTAATGCCAAACAGCCATTTGACTACAGGTCAAAAAACCACAGAATCTCAGGACGGGAAGTGACCCCTCCCTGGGCAGGAATCCTCTCTACAATATCCCCGACAGTGGTCAGTGAGCTTCTGCTTGGAGACCTCTAGTGACAAGGAACTCACTACCTCTCCCAGGCATCCCATTCAACTCTTGGACAGTTCTAATGATCAGCAAGTTTACTGAGCTACTCTCTCTACTGAGCTAAAGTCTTCTTCTCATACAACTAGATGGTTGAAGCTCTTGAGGCCGCTCAAGGGTTCATCTGACCTCTCACCCCATTTCCCAAGTCAAGATGGGCCTCAGCAACCTGCGTGGGGATGGTCATCCTTTCAGGGAGGGGACTTTCAGAGTTTAAGGGACTACGTCACATCACCGTCATAGACAGTCTGTGACTAGTGGTGGCCACTTGGGAAGGACGGAAAGATCTCCCTGCCTGAAGACATTTGACTGAGATGTCCTTGATTAGAGGCTCTCCTGAAGGGGCCTTTTGGAGATGGCACATTGTGACTGCTGGTGGCGTGACGTCAATGGGGTCAGGTGCCCTACTAGCTGGCTGCCATATTGGGTTGGATTCACTTATCTATATCACCCGTAGGAATGTAGAAAATAGAGCTCTGGGGAAATGGGCCTTAGTTTTAAGGTGGAAAAGAACAGGCTAGAACATGAGGAAGGCAGACCCGGCCCCAGGGAGCCAAAGGAAAGCTTGAGAATGCTAGGTGAGGAGCAGGAGGACGCCAAAGAGGAATCGTGCCTCCTTCATGATTCTCCTTCAGGCTCTGCCCACCCAGATGACCAATACCTCTGTTCCCCATGCCTGAGCCCTTTCAGGGGAGCCTTTACCCTAGCAGAGAGGAAGGGAAGGGACCTCCTGCCCAGGACCCCTCACCTTGTGATGCTGGCCATGAATGAGGAAGTGGAACATGATGAGGTAAGAGCTGCTAGCAGGTGGCTTCATGTGGAACACAAAGCGGTGAAGGGCGTACTCTATGGCACTCCATGACAATATCCCAATACCAAAGAAAAATGGGAATACGTACTTGGACACAGGGATGGCATACTCTGTATGGAGAGAGAAGGTGGTGAGCTGGGGTCAGGGGAATGGAGGCATTGAGCACATGTGCTGGGCCACATATCATGCCCCCCTGGGGCACCACATAGAGTCAAGGGACCTTGGTGGTCATCTAGTCCAACTGGTATCTGAAGAAGAATCCCCCAGTGTCCCAAGGAGGGGCCACCTGGCCTTCACTACAAGAGCGACGGGAAATCTGCCACCTCCTGAGCAGCCTAGCGCACTTTTTACCAACTCTAACTATTGGGAAAATTTCCCTTAAAAATAGAAATCGGTCTCTTTGCCACTTCCACGCCTTTCTCCTAGTTCTTTTCTCTGGAACCAAGTAAAGCAAGTCTAATCTCACACCCTCTAATCACCACTGGGGCTTTGGGAGTGGACACAGGGAAGGCAAAGCATGAGGGCTAGGGGGATGAGGGAGGCAGGAGTTGTAGAATGGTGGGAAGAGCCCTTGCCCTAACGGGAGTCAGGGAACCTCTCACTCAAGTTCCAGCGCTGCTGTTTCCTAGCTGTGGGACACTGCACAAAGCACTAACCCTCAGTTTGCTCACGTGGGTGACAGTATTTTGTAAACACTCCCGTTAAGCAAACAGAAGCTGAATCGGGACTTGAGACCTGGCTTCGTGGGGGTGAGACTGGCCCAGGCTGGATGAGAGGACAGCCAGCATTTTGGAAGGAGCAGAGTGGCGCTGGAGGATCACTTGTGGGAGATGAGTTAATTCAGTTTAATCCCACAAAGAGTTTATTCAGCACCTACCACTGGGGTGTGGTGGATAGTGCTGGACTGCACAGCTATTGGGGTAATATTCCCCAAGCACAGTTCTGACTGAATCACTCTTTTGCTCACCCTTTCACTTCCAGGATCAAATATAAACTCCCCTGATATTTAAGGCCCTTCCCAACCTTTCTAGGTTTATTAGAGAGGTTATTCTAAAGCTCCCCTTCTCACACTCTCTGGTCCAGCCAAACTGGGTTTCTTGCTATTCCTCACAAATTCCTTTGTGTTTCTTTGCATATATTTGTTCAAGAACATGTGGTCTCCCTACTAGAGAGTAAGCTCCCTGAAGTCAGAGACTGTTTCATTTTTGACCTTATTTTTTTTTTTTTTAGGCAATTGGGGTTAAGTGACTTACCCAGGGTCACACAGCTAGTAAGTGTCAAGTCTGAGGCCGCATTTGAACTCAGGTTCTCCTGACTTCAGGGCCAGTGTTCTCTCCACTGCTCCACCTAGCTGCCCCTCATTTTTGACTTTGTAACCCTGGGCACATTAGAGACACTGAGTACTCACTGGCTGATCTTCCACATATCGATTACTTACGAGGTGCTCCGGGGATATCAAAACTAAAGCAGAAGTCCCTGCCCACCAGAAGCTTCTGTTCTCCTGGAACACAGCAGGGACATAGACAATCCCAGGAGCTGATTTGGGCAGGGAGAGAACACAAGCAAATGGGGACCAGGGAAAGCTTCCCAGAAGGAGCTGCGCTCAAGCTGGGCCTCACTTGATTCTCAAAGATGGTGAAAGGCAGAGCGTGGCAGGCACGGAGGAGGACAGCCTAAGCAAATGCACAGATTCAAGGGATGAAGACGCTGGACGTGGCCAATGTGGGAATTTGTTTTGTTTGATTACACATAATTGTTACAGGGAAAATGAATGCTTGTTAATTGAAAAAAGTTGAATTAAAAAAAAATAACAAGAAAGGTGAGCAAAGATATGTGGGAGTTTACATACTAGCAAGCGCTCCATGAATGAAATGATTTGAATCCCAGCAGCATGCTGGTTTAACCTTTTATCAGGTCCCTAAATGCAAAGTCCCCAGCTTTGGCTAAGCCTTTCATAAGGCATAAAGTCATCTGGGGCCTGAGGCCAAAAAAGTGTCTCTACTGTGGTCCCCGGCCACTTGCAGAAGCCCATTCCTATAGGTCAAGAATCTGCCCGCCCCCTCACCCCAGCATCAGCCCCTGCCCGCCCCTGCTCTGCAGCTGGTACTGAGTGGCATCTTCCGAGCTGAGGCAAGGGAGGCCGGCCAAAGCTTCAACTCCTCTCCCCTGCCTGCCCCCCTGCCCCTCCTCCACGCCAGCCTCCAAGCAGCCCAGCCACTGTCTGCCATTGTTAGGGAGCCCAAGGCAGACAGTAGGCAATTCAGCCATCAGAATTTCTGAGCAACAAGCCCTGTCCTGTCCAGCAGCTATTCAGCGTGGGTCGAGAGTAGCGGCCTTGGCCGCTGGGCCACGGGGGCTCGCAGGCTGCACTTAACCCTTGCGGACTCATCTTTGCATTTTCTCTTCCTCACCTCCTCTTGATATTGTGTATCTATGAACGGAACATGTGGACTGTCCCTCAGTTTCCCCTGACTGACAATGCCTTCTTGACTGGTCTCGCTTCCCTCCAGTCATACTTTCTCTGATGACGTCCTCTGTACTGCTCCTTCTGAGGAAAGTGCAATGTGTCACAGCTTGCTCACACCTGACACAGGCCACTCGACTGCTTTTTGGGTATTCCTCAACTTTGTATACAGCAGGCATTTGATAAATGCTTTCCCTTGGCAAACTGCACCTGGCAGAGTCTGTGAGCAAAGAGCTGCTTGGCATAGGATCCTCAATTTTCCACAATGGAAAAGATGAAGCAAAGAAGAGCCCAGAATTAAAAGATGGGTCATGGCTATAGTTTCCAACTTACGGAGTCAGGCTTCTTTCTTTCACCTCCCCCACCCTCCCAGGCTCCTCATGCCAACTGCTGCTTCCCGGTATGAGCCGCCTGCCCAGAGGAAGCTCCTAAACTGGGGGTGGGGTGGGGGAAAATGCCAGAAGACTCAGACAAACAAAGACAATCGGGTTTCTGTTCTTTGCTTTTGGAGACAGGATGGAGGGTTAGGTATTACCTCCTTAATGAAGCCTTCCCTTGACCCCTCCAGCTGCCCAAACTATCCTGGGTTTGTTTTACGTATTTTCAGAACATGCTACTACGTGTACAATCTCCCACTGGAATGTAAACTTCTCGAGGCCAGGGGCTGTTTGGCATTGTGTGCAGCATACAGGAGGCACTTAATAGATGCTTGTTGAATGATTGATTGGTGTCTAGTGAGATGTCTTATATGTCACCACATTCCAATTCCCAGAGCTTGCTCTAGACCATGTCCCTTACCTTGAAGAGCAGGAGCTCCTTCCTCTGGGTCAAGCAGGCCCCCTATTTTTTTCCTAAGGTTCCCTTACTTGACCGATACTAGCTTTTCTGGGGGAGAGATCCTGGCCAAATCCTTCTGTCTGGGGCATTTCTGCTGATAACCATGGAACACTTAGGGATGTCTCCTCTAGAATGGGCAAGAGAAACTACAGAGGGAAAATCGGACGGCTCCCCTCCCAACACAGAGACAGGCAAAGGAACTTCTGAGGATCTGGTACCTGTGGTGAATGATGTGAAGAGTCGGACGTTGTCCCGAGTGAGGGCGCTGAAGTAGAACCAGCTGAGGTACATCACCAATGGGGACCAGACAGCAAGAACGATGTACCTGTAGGAGGGCCACAGGGGCAAGAAAAAGAAAGGGTCACGTAAGGGGACTTGTGAGGAGGGTTTGGCTTCCCTAGAGATACACCAGGGCGAGAACCGAGGGGATAAGGCGACTCACGGGAAGGCCTGGAGCCAGAGGGGACCAGGCCTGTCCAAAGGCTCTGTGGCCATCTAATGACAGAATAGGGACTAGAGCCTTGTGCCTCGCAGCTGGGAACCCTAAACTAAGAGCATCGATGGTGCCTTTTTGGGACAATGGGGTCAGTGGAAGGCAAGACTGCTCCAATGGGAATGAAAGACTGAAGTGGGGAGTAGGGTGGCCAGAACACACAAGCCCTTACTTCAGGAGACACTCCTGGCCAGTTCCTCTTTCACTGGGCAAAAACATTCCTGCCCCAAGGGTTGTATTGCCTTATTCCCAATTTATGAGATGTGGGCCCATGTGGGTCCCAGGAGGAATTCTGACCACAAAGGCCTTCTGTGAACTCTATACTCTAAAGCTCCATGAGAAAAGAGAGGTTTTCCCTAAGTTTGTCTGCCCATACCCCACCCACCCCCATTCCTCCCAGCACCAAGGGCACTGTTCTACATACAGCCGACGCTTCATAAATGTTTGTAGCTGGAAACCTAGAGATATCTCAGAGAAGTACAGAATGACCATGTCCACTTGGATATAGGGATTCAGCCAGTCAGATTGGGGACGTGGGGACACAGAGGTAAAAGTGGGGGTGGATGGTGGGGGTACTGAGGAAGGTCGGCCTTCAATAAATACCCTCTAAAAGACTCGCACTTGGCACAGAAACCTGACCTTGGTTTCTCTGCTTGAGGGAGAGTGTAGTAAGGCCTCAGCTATGAAGAGGGGCTGGACAGGACAGCAGATTTGCTAAGCATATACTAGAATCTGACTTTCTGATCACTGTTTTTTAAATCATGTTTAAAATCGTGTTGTAGCATCGTAGTTCACAGGGCCATAGATTTAGAGCCCGAAGAGATCTTACTCTTCATTTTACAGATGAGGAAACTGAGGCTCAGAGTGGTTCAGGGGTCACAGAGATAGTATGGGGCACAGCTGAGCTTTGAATCCAGACCCTCAGACTCCAAATCCACTCCCTTTTCCACTGTACCATCAGCACTTTAAATCATGATTAGGATGAAAATTTTCATATATGTAGACAGATATCCCCACACACACAGATCACCTGGGAAAAACCCAGGCTGACCTCAGGGCAACAGCCCTGGGGAAAAGTCTACTAGCTTTTAGGAGCGTCTGACTGATGTCCTCACCTGCCCTTCCTGTCAACAGTAGCTTAATGTTGCAGGGGTGACATCAACCTCTGGAGACTCATGGCAGTACTCACCAGGAAGTCTTGGAGCAGGCCTCTAGGAAATCTGAGTGGAAGAGCCGGAGGGGTCTATCCACAGGTTGGTGCACCCACTCGTCATACTTCTCTCCCAGGTGGCCCACCTGCCACAGCAAGGGCTTTTGCCAGTCAACCAGGTCCTTCAACAGAGAAGAAGATCCATAGTGAGTAGGCCAGCAGAACCAAGTACGGATCGTCAGCACTCTGGGCCAGGAGTTACACTGGCTTCTCTTGCTACAGCCCAGACTCTCTTCTGGCTGCTGAATTGGCAAGGTTAATCATTCACCCATCTACGCATCCATGCACGCATCTATCTATTCATGTAGTCAGCAAGTACTCGCTAAATATTTATATTCATTCATTCAACAAAGTTATTAAGTATCTACTACATTCAAGGCATTGTGCCATGTGCTACCAGATACAAAGAAATCTCTGACTTCAGTAAGCTTACAGTCCACTTGAAGCAGGATACAGCACTTATATGGAGAATAATATAAGCTAGGGAATGAGAGGGCAAAGAAGTAATCCAAAATGATCTATACAGATTTGCAAAGGGAGGGAATACTGTCAGATCAATCTCAAATAGAAACTCATCCCTGCCAGTATCATACTGACTTAGAAAACCACCAATTAACATTATCTATCTCATATTGCATTTTTATTGTTAAATATTTCCCAACAAATTAAAAAATATTTTATTTGTTAAATGTTTCCCAATTATATTTTAATATGATTTCCCCAGGCTAGGAGTATGACACTTCTGTACAAGAGGATTTGGGGAAGATTTCAGGGAATTGGGGGCAGCTGAAATTGAGCCTTGAGAGAAGGATTTTAAAGGGTTAGGAAGTCATATATTAGAAAGTCATATATTCCAGGAGATTGAGTGTTAAATTTAGTGACCAGCTACTTGTTTAGTCTGGCTGGACTTGAATGCTTGAAGAGAAGTAATGGAAAATAAAGTAAAAAAGTAGGTTGGAGCCAATCTGGGCAGAATTTGACATGCCAAGTTAAGGAACTGGTACTTTAGCCTAGCACCATGCTGGCACCATAGGACTCACAGAAGATAAGCCAATGATTATTCTGCATTCCCAGAGTTTATAATTCAGATTGAAAGATGAAGCAGATATAGGTAAGATGGCTAGTCATATGCTATATTCTAGTATTGTCCCTTAAATAGCAAAATGAATGACACAGATAAGGAATCTCTCCTTCCTTTTGGAGGAGAGTTGGGTGAACCGATGGGTGTGGAATGTTGTATATGCTTTCTAAATGTGGTTACTGTTTGGGTTGATTTTGCTTTCTTTTTTTCAACAAAGGAAGGCTAACTAGGTGTGGTAGGGGGTCTCATCCAGAGATAACTATGATATAAAAATAAAAAAAGCATCAAAAAAATATAATATTTTTAAAAAATTAAATCAATAAACCATTAAAGATGAGTGATACAGGCCCTGAGTACTAGAAGCGTACAGAGAATGGGAAGGTCAATCAGGGGCTTGGTCTAAGATGGGTAAAGAGGCCAGGGGAGACAAGAAAAGCATAAGAAAGACCTAGAGTTGGGAATGATGGGAAATATCAAATAGACCAGACTGGCTAGAGCAGAAGGTTGCTACTATTGGGAAACAGTGGGAGATGAGTTTGGATAATAAGGCTGAGGTTAGATTATAGTAGGCCTTGAACGCCAGATTCCAAAGTGAGGAATTTGGACTTTATCTTATAGGCAAAGGGTTCTTACTGCTTATATAAGGAGTAAGTGCAACGTATCGAAAAGAGCACTAGTCTTCAATGCAAACAGACCTTGGTTCGAGCCTGCCTTGGCCACTTACCAATCTCAGATACTTCCTAGCTGTGTGACCTTGGGCAAGTCAATTAACCCTGTTTGCCTCAGTTTCCTCATCTGTATCTTTGCAAAGAAAACCCCAAATGGGGTCACAAAGAGTTAGATGTGACTGAAAAACGACTGAACAACAGAACAGAACATCAGGCATACCACATTGGGTCAACCATATCTACTGTTCACAGTTGAGCGTTCTGTTTCTGATGGGGGCTCCCTGAACAGTGCTACGAAGAAGGACTGGATGTCCTTACAGAATCACACAATGTCAAAGGGACCCCAGAGAGCATTTTGTCCAACGGCCTTAAGTTACAGATTAGGAAACCTGGACCCAGAGAGGAACAAGGGGGCTTGATCCAGGGTTATGTGATTTGTCACAGAGAAGCAGCAGGCTGGGATTCAAATCCCCCCCATCTCACTTTTAATCCGGGTTCTCTCTTCTAGGAAGTAAGCAGTGGTTGAATGTGGCATTTACATCAAGTCTCATCTGCTTCTCTTCTCCCTGGTCCCAATTTGTCAAAGACGCCTCCTTACCCCTATCACTTCTGCCCTTCTCCCAACAAGTCCAGTGGCCCCTCCCTTGAGTCCCACGGGCATAGGGGGGCACAGCTCTGAACCACAGCTTCCCAACCCCTTCCTCAACAACCCAAACTTCTTGACTTTCCCTCCTAGAAATGCTTCTGGCTCTCCAGACTCCTCCAGGTTCCACGTCACTCTGGAACATCTCTGTCATGCTGGTCCCCTTCTCCCACTGGTGAAGTTCTTCTGGGGCTTCCATTTTTGACAAAGGTCCAAGCCAGCCATGCTTCATTCCTCTTTCTGTTGTACAGCTAGCTGATTTTAAGGATTTTACCACCATGCCCATTCCACCCAGATGCCTCCTCTTTCCCCAGCTTTTCAGTTCCCTTTTACAGGTTGTCTTTCCTCTTTAGAATATAAGCTCCCTGAGGGCAGGGACTGTCTTTTTTTTTTTTAATTGCTTATATTTGTATTCCAAGCACAGAACCTGTTACACTTCTAACCATTTAATAAATACGTGTTGCCTGCCTGCCTTCCAAGATTAGGGCAATCTTCCCAACATTACAGTTTTCCATACTATTATGCCAGCCATACTAGACATGATTCCTCTTTATGGGCTACAAGTCCTTCCCAAATTGGATTATCAGCTCTTCCCTGATCTTGTTCTGTGCTTGGATTCAAGTCCCCTTATGTCTAAAATCACCCCCTTGTCATCTTCCATCTCTAGAAATTCTTCTCTTCTTTCAATGCAGTTTAGATTATACCTCTTTAGCGACGGCGTAGTGCTGTGGTAAAATTCCAGGTGCAGGCCTACTGGACAAAAAGACTAGAAAAGTGGGAGTAGCAACTTCCAGACTGGACAGGTAGTGGAGAGCTACAACAGTCATATGGGAAGGAGGCACTGACTGATACAAAGAAAATCCAGAAGAGACTGTTTCTATCTAGCTCTTACTTTACTAAAGAGGCAGCATGGCATAAGAGGAAGAACTTTGGATATGGAGTCAGAGGACTTGGCAATGCTACTTACTATGGGTGTGATGTTGGGCAGGTCATTTTCACACTTAGTCTTCAGTCAAAAGAATTTGGACTACCTAATTACCAAAGTCTCCTGCAGCTCCAAATCCCATGATCTTAACTCTCCAATTAGCATGTAAAGGCAAGGACTACGTATCATGCCTCACAGTATGCGGCAGGCTTCAATGAATATTTGTTGCTGGTCTGCTTGACAAGGAAACATTTGGGTTTTCTTGGTGACCTGTTTGTTCTGTTATTCCTCTACCTAGTGGTAGCTCTTTGAGGTAGACTTCAGTCCATGCCGCTATCCATAACCGGTACTCACACTGTGCCCAGTTATCCAACTGAATTATTATGATTTTTTTTCTCTGGGGCCCAAAGTATTATTGATGATAATTTAAATAAAATAAACGTGTATTGTGGTTTATTGTGCTTCTTCCCCTCACTGGGAGTCTGACCGCTAACGGTAGCCACTGTCATATCCCTAGGAGTTCACAGAAGGCAAGAATCTATTCAAGAGGACAGGAATGTTTATGCAGGTGGGGATTGCTTTTTCTCCCCCTTTGCTCGGGAAGAGAGAATTTAGTTTAGTGTGTGGGGCCCCTGGAGGTGTTAGGATTAGACCAGGGAGAACAAACAACAATAACAACACCACCACAACAATCATAACAACAACAATCGTTGGCCATGCAGGCTGTTTGCAAAGGGTTCCATAAGAGAGTTTAATTTTTCTTTCATTTTTTCTCTACTTAACAAGTTATGTGGTCACATGCTGTTATGTGCTTTTGGCTTGTAAAGGCAGGACACTATTTCAGAGAGAAGAGAGATTCCAGAAGTGGGCTGGGGATGGAACCATAGACTTCCTATTTACAACTGCCTTTACCAAATACAATGTTTTATATTATCCTTCCTATCCTTCTATTTCATACTATCCTTCTAGACAATGTAGGTTTTAAACTACTTAGACACTTGGAGTTCTTAGAGAGGAAGACTCTCTCAACCATGTGCCAGAGAAACTCCAACAAGATAACTTGGCTGGTGGCTTAAGTGGAGTGCTACAAGGTGAATAACTCAGATATTATTTCCCCTTGCTGGATAGTTAATATAGTAACACACTGCCTTTCTGTAAGCTTAAGGAAGGCAGCTTAGGCACTAGTTTGGACTGGTTACATGAAATGCCCTGAGTGTTACAGTGTATACAGAAAGCATCCCACATAGGACATACAAGGTTCTTACATATGAGGCTATTCATTTATGAAATTTTGATTTGTTTCTAAGATGTTTGTTTTTTTGATACACAGGATTCACAACTAGTGCTGCTTACTCTGGATTTCTTTTCTCCCGTATTTACACGTTTGTAACTGAATTTTATTTTGGGAGTTTTTGCTTTTTTTTCTGGCAATTTTTTTTTTCTGATTCTAAATTTGAAAATTTTCTTATTTATCCACAGGGAATTATTTAGTTCGAGTTCAGGTTTTGATTTGTATTTTTTTCCTCTGTGGAATTTTCCCCTTTATTGTATTTCAGGAGGCAGCTAGGTGGCACAGTGGATAGAGTGCTTGGTCTGGAGTCAGGAAGACTCGTTTTCTTGTGTTCAAATCTGAACTCAGATACTTACTAGCTATGTGATCCTGGGCAAGTAACTTCACCATGTTTGCCTCAGTTTCCTCATCCGTAAAGTTAGGTGGAGAAGAAAATGGCAAACCATTCCAGTATCTTTGCCAAGAAAACCCCAAATGGAGCCACAGAGAGTCGGACATGACTGAAAATGACTGA